TATTATTTGGTGACATTTTTGCAGCCCAATCCTTTACTTCCCATGCAAACCCTGTTCCTGTTAAGTTCATTGTCTCCCAACTCCCCTCTAATATTGATTTTGTAGGATGATCTGAATTATGCCCTTGCAAATTAAGCAACAAAGTAACAGATCATTTTTTTACGTCTTATTTCTAATGGGGACTCTCCTGTTTCAACTTGCATTGCTGAGATTGGAGTTGTTTTAGCGTTGCACATCTCTCCAGAGACGGTGAGTCTTGTGTCCAAAAAAGGTACGAGAGATCAGAAAAAAAAATGTATGCAATACAGTAAAGGAAGAACAGATTCGGACAGACAGGTCATTTTGCGAAAGATTATACCATCATTCAGAATACTACTTAATGAAAATTCTTTAACTCCTAAGGATTGCAATTCATCTCTAAGTCCATCCCTTTCTCTTCCATATGCTGTACATATCATCATAACGTGTTCCACTGATTCCTCTGTTAAACAAACATCACATAGACCAGTATTATGTTTCCCTATAATGTATAGTGTTTGATTAAGATTTGAGTGTCCTGTTCGTATACGTGTTAAAATGACTTGTTCCCTTCTACTTATGTTATGAATGATTTTTCTTCTTTTTATACTCCTTTGTCCTTTGTACTTTGTGATAATGCCTACCTGTTTGACATGAGTCCCAGTATATCTGCCATACAATATTGCATGCATTTAATATGAACTGTTTTCCTTCTATTCTGCTGAGTGCAATATTTATACTGGGATCATCCATATTTAAGGATTCTTTAGCCATTTTATCTACCTCTTCATTACCTTGAATTCCCACATGTGCAGGTACCCATATAAACCGAGTAATTATCCCTATCTGTTTAATACTATATAGTGTAATCATGATTTCTGTTAAAATGTCTTTTCTATTTGATTGCCATGATTGTAAACTCATAAGAGCTGCCATTGAGTCAGAGCATATTATTACTTTATCCGGTCTTACTTCATATACCCACTCTAATGCCATAAGGATAGCTACCATCTCTGCTGTATATACAGAAGTACCATCCGTAATTCTTCCAGCCTTCCTAACCTGAAATTCTGGAATGAAAAATGCAGCACATGTCCTTCCAGTTTCTATGTTCTTTGATCCATCTGTGTAAATTTGAAGAAATGAATAATGCAAACTTTTTATATATTCTTTAACATACGCTTTTAAATGAAACCCCTCCCCCATTCCCTTAATTTCTTTATGTACGTTTAAGTCAACTTCAGG